TTAGGCAAGAACCCAAAAGGAAATGCAACAAAAACAAAGAGAAATAGATGGGACTTAATTAAACTAAAAGCTTCTGCACAGCAAAAGAAATAATCAGCAGAGTTAACAGACAACCCACAGAGTGGGAGAAAATCTTTGCAATGTATACATCTGACAAAGAACTAATATCCAGACTCTACAAGGAACTCAAACAAATCAGGAAGAACAAAACAATCCCATCCAGAAGTGGGCTAAGGACATGAGTAGATAATTATCAAAAGAAGAGATACAAATATCCAACAAACATATGGATAAATGTTCAACATCATTAATTCTCAGGAAAATGTAAATCAAAACCACAATGTGATACTGCCTTACTCCTGCAAGAATGGCCATAATTTAAAAAAAAAAAAAAAAAAAAGGATGTGGAGAAAAAGAACACATTTACACTGTTGATGGGAATATAAACTAGTACAACCACTACAGAAACAGTGTGGAGATTTCTAAAGAACCAAAAGTAAATCTACCTTTTCATCCAGGAATCCCACTCCTGGATATCTACCCAGAAGAAAAGAAGTCATTATATGAAAAAGATACTTGCACATGCATGTTTATAGCAGCACAATTCACAACTGAAAACATATGGAACCAGGCCAAATGCCATCCATCAACAAGTGGATAAAGAAAATGTGGTATATAGGCTGGGGGCAGTGGCTCACGCCTGTAATCTCAGCACTTTGGGAGGCTGAGGCAAACAGATCACCTAAGGTCAGGAGTTCAAGACCAGCCTGGCCAACATGGTGAAACCCCATCTCTACTAAAAGTAAAAAAATTAGCTGGACATGGTGGCACACACCTGTAATCCCAGCTAGTCAGGAGGCTGAGGCAGGATAATCACTTGAACCTGGGAGGCGGAGGTTGCAGTGAGCCAAGATCACGCCATTGCACTCCAGTCTGGGTGACAGAGCAAGACTCTGTCTCAAAAAAAAGAAAAAAAGAAAAAGAAAATGTGGTATATATACCATGGAATACTACTCGGACATAAAAAGGAATGAAATAATGAAATAATGGCATTTGCAGCAACCTGGGTGGAACTGGAGACCATTATTCAAAGTGAAGTAATTCAGAAATGGAAAACCAAACATTGTATGTTCTCACTCATAAGTGGAGGTAAGTAGTGGGGATGCAAAGTCATAAAAATGATACAATGGACTTTGAGGACTTGGGGGAAAGGGAGGGAAGGGGTGAGGTATAAAAGACTACACTTTGGGTACAGTGTACACTGCTTGGATGATGGGTGCACCAAAATCTCAGAAATCACCACTGAAGAACTTATTCATTTAACCAAATGCTACCTGTTCTCCAAAACCCTATTAAAAATGTAATCACAGTTCTATTATCACATCTTTAATAATCATTCCTATTGTCGTCAAATATCCAGTGTGTTCAGAATTTCCACATTGTTCTGCAGGAGTGTGTATGTGTGTGTGTGTGTGTGTGTGTGTGTGACTTATGATTCAAATAAAGTTGATGGCCTTATTTAAAATAATACTTAGCTCAAATGAAGAATAAAAGGAAATATTAAGGCTGAGATGAAAACAGTAGGAGCAATAAACAATCAAAAAACACAACCCAAACCACTGAACTGGAAGTGAGGACTAACACATTAACAACCCAGCTCTGCCACTATAACTGCCTGCACAATTTTAAGAAAGTTTTAGTTAACTTTTCTGGACTCACTTTCTTCCTCATCTATAAATGAAGACAGTTTATATTACTTCTTATTTGCCTTCATGGTCTGACAACAATTTTCAAATTGATATTATATTTTTCACAAATAGAAAAGTTTTTCTTTTTTAATTAAAAAAAATTGTTCCTTGCAGTTCTGCTAGAGAATAGGAAAAAAGTTTTAAAATTATTTTTATAAAGATCAATATTACTTTTTACTAAGTTATGGACTGACTCAAACTGTTGACTCTACTCTGTTTAATGAATTTCTCATACAGAACTGTGTTACAAATGTATGTATGTGTGTATATGTATATCAGTATGTGTATGTACATATACACACATATATACACACAAACATACATTGAACCTATTTTTAATATCTATTCGCAATAAATTTCCCAAAATAAATTATTTTGTCTTAAATTACAAAAAACAAAACAAACAAACAAAAAATGTGTTTTCATGTAGAAAAAATGTGTTTTCACGTAGAATGCATAAAGGCAAATGCAAATTAAAAATAAGAGGTTCTATTTTCCCTAATATAAACAGGGGAAGCGATTTCCCTTCTCTCCTTTTTCTCAGGACATTTACCTTAGAAACCTTATAGGTATTTTCTCGATTCTTTGAAATATATATATAAAGCCTTTTGAAGAATAGGCATGACTTTTGCCAACCTGCCTTTTCTCAGTTCCATGACCAAGGGATGTTTTTCTTGAGGACCCAGAAGCCATCTCTTTGAATTGCAAACATTGGAGCTTAGCTTTGGTGGGTGCCTTGCTTGAAGTTGCAAAACTACCTCTGTCATAAAAGTTGAGGAGATTTGCCTCTGGATAAAGCCAATTAGCTAATATAGATGGTCACCTTAATTACCTTTTCATGTGTCTCCTTTCTCTCTCCCTACCCCAAAACGAGTCATATGTCCTGGACAGATTACAAAAACGGCTATACATTCTTCCCCCATCTGTATGCACTTTTCTTTGGAATGTCACTTGCAGCTCTTCCCCTTAAGTGGTGGGGTCTATTTCTCTACCCCTTGAACATGGTCTCAGCATGTGATTTGTTTTTGCCAGTGAAACATTAGCAAATTTGTTGCAAGTGAAGACTTAAAAAGTATTTGTACGTTGAGTAATGCAGTTCTCCTTGCCTATGACTGCCTCAGGAATGGGCATATATCAGTTAGCTTTTGCTTCTTAACAAACCACTCCTAAACTTAGTGGCTTAAAACAACAAACTTCTCATAATTCTGTGGGTCATCTCAGTGGCTTTATATCTGGGCTGGCTCAGAGTGGGTTGTTTAGGACAGCATGACCTCATTCTCATGTCCTGTTGCTGGCAGGCTGGTTGGTGAGGGTTGGGGTTGGGGTGGGGTTCAGCTGGGATAGCTCGTTTCTGCTCCACATGGTCACTTGTCCCCCCTCAAGCATGGGCTTCTTTTTTTTATTGCATTTTAGGTTTTGGGGTACATGTGAAGAACATGTAAGATTGTTGCATAGGTACACACATGGCAGTGTGGTTTTCTGCCTTCCGTCCCCTCGCCTGTATCTGTCATTTCTCCCCAAGGCATGGGCTTCTTAACATGGCAGCCTCAGAGTTCCACAGAGCAGTAGCAGAAGTGCAAAGGACAAAATACATTTTTAATTAAGCCTGTTCTTTTTAATTAGGAAAAAAGCAGCATTCCTGGAGGGCCCATTTATAAGCTCTCCATTTATATTTTCTTTTTTCTTTCTTTTCCTTCTTTTTTCTTTTTTCTTTTTTATTTTTTTGAGATGGAGTCTTATTCTGTCACCCAGCCTGGAGTACAGTGGCACATTCTCTGCTCACAGTAACCTCCGCCTTTTGGTTTCAAGTGATTCTCCTGCCTCAGCCTCCCAAGTAACTGGGACTACAGGTGCCCAAAACCATGCCCTCTCAAACTCCTGACCTCAGGTGAGCTGCCTGCCTCGGCCTCCTGAAGTACTGGGATTACAGGTATAAGCCACCATGCCTGGCCCTCCATTTATATTTTCTAGGACAGACTTGTATCATATGGCCAGCTTTAGCTGAGAAAGAACTTGAGAAATCTTGGCACAGTGCCACTCTGAATAAAATTCAGTTTGGTTACGTAAGGAGGATGAGGAGAATAGATATTTTATGGGCAACTTTCAGTACTTGCCGTGATATCCTTGCTAAACTGATGGCTAGTGCATCTCAAATTCATGTATGTAGTTCTGACTCCCTTAGAGATGGTGTGAGAAAAAAGGAGAAAATTTAGACAAGGACAACTGAAATGATGAAAAAGGAAAGGATTTTCTGTTGTAGCCTTCAGGGAACACCGGGCTTGGAATTCAAAGTTCTAGCTTTCTGACCTGATTCTGTCATGTACAAACTGTGTGACACCGGTTGAGTTAACCTCTGTAAGCCTGTTACCTTTGTCTGTAAGATGGCAATGGAATGTTAGAAAGAAAGGGAGAAATGGCTATTGAATAAGCAAATGTGAACTTACTAATAATTTCATCTTTCACAGAAAAACAGCAGATCTCCCTGTGGCATATTCTTCATATAATCTCTTTTGGGGAGTCAGATAAATATGATTTAGAAGAATTTTCTATTTTTTACAAGGAAGCAACATTCATCTCTGGAGTGTATACTTTAGGTAATCCGGGGGAAGAAAAATAATTTTCCAGCAGTTTTAGCTCTCAAACAAGCAATATACATCTATGTGGAATAACTATTTCCTGTAACTTTATATCGATTTAATGTCTAGTATGTCAGCCAGTGCTCTCAGTGCTAGAGATACAGTGTGAACAAAACAGAGAAGGCCCCTACCTTCATACAGTTAACATTCTACCAAGGGAGTTAATGATTAGATAGAGTGAGCTGAAGAAATGGGAATATGCCAGCTAAGTGGTACTTCCTTTGAGAAGTGCAGAGAGCTTGCTTTCCGGACTTAGTCTATGACATCCTCATTTTTTAGTTTATCAAAAATGCAAATAATCTGATTTTCACCTTTGTTTCTGATTAACAAATTCAACAAGTATTTATTGAACACCTTCTCCACCAATCATTGTGCTAAACATTGGAATATAATGATAAGCTCCATATAGCTGAGTAGAGTTGTATAAAGATGAACTGATTGGTTTTTCACAGTTCTGGGTGGGATGCTACTTGTGTATAACCTCCTAAGAATACCTGTGTAAAAAGTACAAGTTGGGCCCCGCCACCCGCAGGCGCCCCGAGCCGCGGGGCTGCCGCCTGGACGTCGTCCTGCCTGGGTGTCGCGGGCCGGCCCCGCGGGGAGCTCCCCCGGTGAGATGCCCTTCAGGAAAGCCTGTGGGCCAAAGCTGACCAACTCTCCCATGGTCATCGTCATGGTGAGCCTTCCTGCCGAGGGCAAGACCTACATCTCCAAGAAGTGACTCGCTACCTCAACTGGATTGGCGTCCCCACAAAAGTGTTCAACGTCGGGGAGTACCGCCGGGCGGCTGTGAAGCACTACAGCTCCTGCAGCTTCTTCCGTCCCGAAAACGAGGAGGCCATGCGAGTCCGGAAGCAGTGCGCCTTAGCTGCCTGGAGAGATGTCAAAAGCTACCTTGCAAAAGAAGGGGGACAAATCGCGGTTTTCGACGCCACCAATACTACCAGAGAGAGGAGACACATGATCCTTCATTTTACCAAAGAAAATGACTTTAAGGCGTTTTTCGTGGAGTCCATGTGCGACGGCCCTACTGTTGTGGCCTCCAATATCATGGAAGTGAACATCTCCAGCCGGGATTTCAAAGACTGCAACTCGGCAGAAGCCATGGACGACTTCATGAAGTGGATCAGTTGCTACGAAGCCAGTTACCAGCCCCTCGACCCCAACAAATACGACAGGGACTTATCACTGATCAAGGTGATTGATGTGGGCCGGAGGTTCCTGGTGAAACGGGTGCAGGACCACACCCAGAGCCGCATCGTGTACTACCTGATGAATGTCCGCGTGCAGCCGCGCACCATCTACCTGCGCTGGCACGGCGAGAACGAGCACAACCTCCAGGGCCGCATCGGAGGCGACTCGGGCCTGTCCAGCCGTGGCGAGAAGTTTGCCAGCGCCCTGAGCAAGTTCGTGGAGGAGCAGAACCTGAAGGGCCTGCGCGTATGGACCAGCCAGCTCAAGAGCACCATCCAGACGGCTGAGGCGCTGCGGCTGCCCTATGAGCAGTGGAAGGCGCTCAATGAGATTGACGCAGGTGTCTGTGAGGAGCTGACCTACGAAGAGATCAGGGACACCTACCCCGAGGAGTATACGCTGCGGGAGCAGGACAAGTACTACTATTGGTACCCCACCGGGGAGTCCTACCAGGACCTGGTCCAGCACCTGGAGCCAGTGACCATGGAGCTGGAGCGACAGGAGAATGTGCTGGTCATCTGCCACCAGGCCGTCCTGCGCTGCCTGCTGGGCTACTTCCTGGATAGCAGCGCAGAGGAGATGCCCTACCTGAAATGCCTCCTTCACACCGTTCTGAAACTGACTCCTGTCGCTTATGGCTGCCATGTGGAATCCATCTACCTGAATATGGAGTCCGTCAGCACCCGCAGGGAGAGGTCAGAGGATGCAAAGAAGGGACCTAACCCGCTCAAGAGACGCAGTAGTGTCACCCTGCTAGCCAGCCCCGAGCCCACCAAAAAGCCTCACATCAACAGCTTTGAGGAGCACGTGGCTTCCACCTCGGCCGCCCTGCCCAGCTGCCTGCCGCCGGAGGTGCCCACACAGCTGCCTGGACAAAACATGAAAGGCTTCCGGAGCAGTGAAGACTTCTCCAGGAAACACTGAAGCAGACGTGTTGGTTCCATTCCATTTCCATTTCTGCAGCTTAGCTTGTGCCCTGCCCTCTGCCCGAGGCGAAATGCATCCCTAGGACTTCTTCCAGAGAGGGTGGGGTGGAACAGGGGGGAAACTTGGCCGAAGAGAAACATGAATAGCACCCTCTGTGTCACCTCAGCCACCGGACACCAGAAAGCCACGCAGGCCCCTGGTGCTTTGCCTTGAGCCGTGGGGCCCCCACCTCCGCTCTCCGGGTTTCCTAGGAATGTCCAGCTTCAGAGACCTTCAGAGGCCTGGGGAGGGTGATGAAAGTTGGGGTCCTGACAAGAGGCCGCTGGGGACACTGTGTCATCTTGTTTTATTTTGTTTCTACAATCTCCTGGCGCGTTCAGAGCTGGGAAGACCACATTGGTGGCAGAATCCTAAAATTAAAGGAGGCAAGCTCCTAGTTGCTGAAGGTCAGGAGATGTTTAAAATCTTCCACGTGGCTGTTTGGTGCATCTTGTCCTGGAAGACTCCTCATGGGAAGGAACAGACTTGGACAGGTGTTGGGTTGGGACCTCATCTCCAAGAAGTCCCTGAGCTGAGACGCAAGTTGACTGGGTGGTCCACACCCTGGTCTCCCGCAGATCCGCACACTTCCAGGCCTGGTTCTCCCTCCGAAGATGTCCAAGGGCAGGCTGGCTGCGTGGGGAGAAGGAAGTATTTTGCTGAAATATGAGAACTGGGCCTCCTGCTCCCAGGAAGCTGCAGGGACCCTCTCTCCTCTTACCTGGACTTGGAGGGAACAGAGAAGCACTCTCCTGGAGCTGCTGGCTTTTGCACTTTTTTGATCGTGGAAGGGTGACCTGAGAGTCACACCTTCTTTTCAGGAACATAGATGTTGGGATGTTTAGCCCTGTGGGGAACTTGGAGCCTCTGAAGGTGGGGAGCCGGATGACACAGAGTGGAACACCTGGCATCCTTCCCCAGGGTTTGCATGACCATCCCTGCTTCCCAGGTGGGGACAGTGGTCCAAGCAAGGCCTCAGTCCTGGTCACTTGCTTCAAGAGCTGCCTGCACGCTGTCTCGGAGTGTCTGCTGTGTGCCTGGTGCTGTGCCAGGGCCTTAGGGAAGTCGGAAGAGTGGACTTTGTCCTGGTTGTGCCTTCATGGCATCTGTGACATTTGTGTGGTGATGGAAAGCATGGGGCCTGTTGTCTCAGCCTGTCGGTTTCTTCGCATTGCCTCAAACCCTGGGGTAGGAGGCAGGGGGTGTCTTGTGCCCAGATGAAACCGTTTGGAAACTCAGCAGCAGAGTTTGTCCAAATGACCCTTTTCAGACGTCTCAAAGCTGGTGCCAAAGGTCACTTTTCCTTGCTGCTTTCTGCCATGGGCCCTGAGATCCTCCTCCCAGCTCAAGGGCCAGGTTCTGGGTGAGAGTGGGGGATTGAGACCCCTGAGACTGGGTGTGGAGAGAGGAGCCTTTGCAGTTTGTTTTTCAAGAAGAGCTTTTAAAGAATGCATGTTTTTTTCTGATTGGAATTGAGCAGTAACCGAGGCTGTGCTTCAGATATCATACAACCACGTGGGGGATTTTCACGCCGAACGATTCAAGTCCCCCTCGCCCATCACACTCCCTTTGGTCGGCTTCTGCTGGAGAGGATGTCTCTGTCTGCATTCCTGTGCAACTCTAGACTCACAGTTTTCTCTCTCCCTGGATGTTGTGTCTCATGAGACTGTGTAGGTGGGGGTGGGTATGCGTGGGTGCATGGGCATGGGTAGCTAGGTTGTATTTTTCTATTTGACATGAAGGGCCTGTTGCTTTGCTCTTGAGAGTGGTTTCTTGTGTTTCCCTCGCTGGCCTCATTCTTTGAACATCGACTCTGAAGTTTGATACAGATAGGGGCTTGATAAAGCTGTGTTCCCATCTCCCCTCTGACTACCTAAAATCAATACCTAAATACAAAAGCTTTGGCCTAACACAGGACTTTAGTTTGGGAAGGGCGTACATAGGGAGAGGGGGAACATACAGGGAATGTTCTCTGTGAATCCATACAGGAAGGGGAGATACTACAGAAAGCAGAACAAGCCAGTGACCTGCCTTTGGAGGGGACATTGGGTGGGGGGTGGGTATGAGCTACAGTCATGGACTTTTGGCATCTACTGATTCTTACCAACTCCCTACCACACAAAGAAAATCACTGGGGCCAACATTTTTAACTTGGCATATTTGTTTTTGGGTGAGCTTCTCCCTCTCATTCTGTCCTGAGACCATGGGCAAAGCTCTTCATTTTGGGAGTGAAGAAGAACTGTTTGGAACCACACCAATGATATTTTCGTTTGTAATACTTGAAATTTTTTAAATTATTTTGATAGCAGATGTGCTATTTACTATTTAATATGTATAAGGGAGCCTAAAAAATAGAAAGCTGTACAGATTGGGTTTAGTTAATTGGTTTGGGAGCCTCCTATGTGTGACTTACGACTTCTCTGTGCTCTGTGTATTTGTCTGAATTAATGATCTGGGATGTAAAGCTGTGCTAGCTTTCAAACAGGAGATGCCTTTCAGAAATTTGTATATTTTGCAGTTGCCAGACCAATAAAATACCTGGTTGAAATACAGGGAAAAAAAAAAAGTACAAGTTGATGCGTTTAGAGGGCCACTAAATACAAGGTTAGCTAGAGCTAGAATTACTCATAGTGATATGCAAGTGTAAAGACCCATAAGGGCAACAGCCTAGGTGGTCAAGTGAGAATTGGCACTGGGATTTGAAGAACCAGGATAAACTGGATAGCTGAGGTCAGGGAGAGCAGGTAAAAGGAAGGGAGATATTTCAAAGGGAAAATCCTGAGAAAAAGATCTAGATTCAGAAACAGGCAAGGGATTTCAGGAGTCCAATGGGAATTCAGTAACGTTACAGCAGAATGTATATGATAGCCAAATAAGAGATGTTGATATTGAGGTCAGTTTGTATGGGCCTAGATTGGGAGTTTGTCCTTTATTCTTACATAACAGGGGATCACTCAAGGTTCTTAACAGAGATTATTTTAAGCAGACAGAATATACTAGTTTCTTGTTGGGATGGCCCATTCCAACTGCTACCTGGCATCCTTTCCATCCCCAACGTCTCCCCCTACAGTTTTCCTGAGGGTTGAGATAGCCACTGTGTTTCAGACCAAGATAGTTGTTAATGGGTCAGGAACGCCGCTGGGCTTGGATGGAAACAAGGATGGAGTCACCGGCTGGACTTGGAGGGAACGCCTTCTTCTAGGGTCCCACAGAGATGTTCCTCCCGCTTCCTAGAGAATCCGAGGACGGATGCGCGAGCCCGCTGTTGACGCACTACCGGCCGCGCCACCACTCTTCCGGTTTCTGAAGTTAAGGCTGGTGTCCTGGGTCCCATGCACCTCTAGGAGCGCCCGCGCCGCTTCGCGGGGAGCACTTGGATCTCACAGTGAGCGGGTTGGGACCCAGGGAAGGGAAAAGAGGGGCCCTGGCAAGCTTTGGCTGGGGCGGCGGGCTGGAGGGAGTTCCCCCCGGCCTTGATCCTCCCCGAATTGCTGCCTACGGGAGCCGCCTGGACCTGGGGCACTCCTGGCGGCTCGGCCAGCCCAGCCTGCAGGCTCAGCACTGCAGACCCCAAAACCCAGCACTATGCCTGGCACAGAGGAGAAGCCTGGGAAAATGGCGGAGTGAATGAATGAATGAGTGAGTGAATGATGGATGGTTATAAAGACCTGGGACCCATGTCAGGAAACGAGATCTTGGGGATCACCGTTCTCGTTTCTGATACCAGTTTCTTCACCCGGCCGATCCTGTAGCTCAGAAACTTGTTTAGAGCCTGTTTTTATAGGAGATTGCAAATAGCGTAAAGCGCACTCATTGGAAGTCTTGAGACCTGAGTTACAATTCTGGAGGGAACAGAGACTGTTTCTTGATCTCTAAAGTACTAGAAGTCTGTTCCTTGCTTCTTCACAAGGCTCAGTTGACAGCTTGTATGTGATAGCATGTATGCAAGCCTTAATGTCTCCCAATGAAGGGGTACTATCCATTACAGGCCAAGTATTACACGGAATTCAGAGGCGAGGCTGCAGAAGGAGTGAGGTTGGAGACTGCCAAATGTAAAGATGCTTCCAGTCTTGTGTAGGGGGATATATGCTTTAGCAGATTTTGGTGGTAATATTGTAAACAACATTTAGCATCCTCTGTATACCAGGTACTGTTTGAAGCATGTGTGCTAATTTAATCTTCACAACAACGTATTATGTATCGTTTTTTAAGTGAGGGAACTGAGGTACAGAGAGAGTAGAAAATTGTCCCAGGTAACATCGCTAAGTGACCCAAGGTTGCATAAGAGTTAGATACAGTGTACTGCCACAGTTTGGTTGAGTGTACTGTTTGGTGCCAACATGCAGACAAGAAGGACTTCAGAGAGTACATTTTAATGGGGTCTCATTGAAGAGATAGTTTAAAATTCTCGAAAAACCTCATCTAGCTTGCCTAGGCTCCTTTAGCTGATTATTGAGGGGTAAAGAGTTGGCATCAGGGAAAAAGCTTACAAGGTAGAGGGAGGAAGCCTGCTCTCTATTAGGTTAGCAGGATAGGGCTATTAAGAGCCTCTTTCCTTTTACCCTTCCCCGTAATACCATTCTTTCCCCACATCTGCAGAGGGATGTTTTTAGCATCTTAAAATCACCAACAGCTAGATTATTCCACAATAGGCATTTGTAGCAGCACCGGTACATTACTTTCTGGGCAACTTACAGACCTGGAAGTCAGCAAATATGGGCCAAATTTGGTCTGCCACTTTTTTTGGTAAAACTGTTTTATTAAAACACAGGCAAGCTCATTCATTTACATAGTGTCAGAAGGCTGTCACTCTGTCACCCAGGTTGGAGTGCACTGGTGCTATCACAGCTCACTGCAACCTCTGGCTGTCAGGCTCAAGTGATCCTCCCACCTCAGTCTCCCAAGTAGCTGGAACCACAAGCATGTCACATGTATGTTTTAACAAACATATATTTTACATATATGTTTTCAAATTACAAAGGCAAAATTGAATAGTTGAGACAGAGACTATGTATCCCATTTAGCCCATTAAACCTAAACAAATTTACCTTCTGCCCTATTACAGAAAAGGTTTGCTGACCCTTGGCATAGACAAACTGCTGACAGCTCAGATGATCCGTGATTGGAAGGATGTGGTCATCACCAAGATGTCTTTCTTTGTCTGCAAGTTTTAGTATCAACCATAATGGCATCTAACCCCTATTGAGTGCCTGCCATCGAGTAGATATCTTTTTATCTATGTGATAAAATATGGTTTATGTGAATGCTTTATGTGAATTAACTCGTCAAGGATTCACAGATTATCAGAGCTGGAATGACACATAAATATTATCTAATTTGTCACCCTTTTCAGATGAATAGCCTGTCATGTAGGCCCATTCACATGGGCTATTGGCAGAGCAGACTTTCCTGACTCCCAGTCCAATCTACTGTCATCTTGTGGGTAGGAAGCCAATACCATAGCCATTAGATCTGACATTTTGTTTTTGTTTTTGTTTCTGGGTTTTTAAAAAGTAACTTTTTCTATCTATAAAAGTAATACGTGTTTATTGAAGGAGAAGTAAAATACATAGAAGAGTATAAAGGACAAACTGAAGTGAACCATTAACTGACATAGAGATAAGTGTGTTAATATTGGTGGGTTTTCCTTATGTCTTTTTAAAATGTGTATGTTTTATCTGTTTATTAACAATAGTTTCTGTTTATTGAGTGCTTACTTAGTCCCAATATATGTGTGCATATTTATTGTTTTTATTTTAGTGTTTTGTATCTTCCTGTTTTAACGTAATATATTTTCTCATGAATGTTCTTTGAAATTATGATTTTAATACTTTTCTAATCTATCTTTGCTAGTCTATCAATGTTTGTTTGCCTGTTTATCTTACAGTTGTAGTAATAGTTTGATCTTTGTACATAAATCTCTGTACCATTTCCGATTATACTTTTTGACTTTTTCTTTGATTGCAGAAGTTATTTATTCCTATGGGAAAATTTTCAAATATTGCAAAAAGGCCCTAAGGCAAAAGTTTACTATAATTTTATTCCTCAGAAATGATCACAATAAATAATTTGCTATATGTTCTTACAGATTTGTTCATTTTCTTAAAAGTGTAGCAAAATATAGATAATAGAGGATATTCGGGAAAATTATTCACAATTTATTATTTTATTTCTTTATTTTTATTTCTTTATTTTTGACACAGAGTCTTGCTCTGTCACTCAGGCTGGAGTGCAGTGGTGCTATCAGAGTTCACTTCAACCTCTGCCTCTCAGGCTCAAGTGATCCTCCCATCTCACCCTCCCGAGTAGCTGGAACCACAGGCATGTCACATGTATATTTTAACAAACATATGTTTTACATTATGTTAATACTTGAAGTGTTACTATCCTGGGTTTTTCTATTTATGGCATAAATATTTTCCCCAATAATCACATATTTTCATTTTTACTTATCTTTATGTCTAAATAATTTTCACCAACTAGAAGTACCATAATTTGGTAATCTTCAGTGTCTACCAATAGAAAAACTTTTATTTCCATGTACATTTCAGGAAATATTTTTACAGGTATCAGGAGAATTCTGTTTCTCTTCTCTCTGGAAAGTTACATATTTCTGAGAAAGTTCATTAGTAGAATTACTAAGTCAAAGAATATAGTCTTTTTTTTGAGATGGAGTGTCATTCTGTTGCCAGGCTGGAGTGCAGTGGTGCAGTCTTGGCTCACTGCAACCTCCACCTCCAGGGTTCAAGCAATTACCCTGCCTCAGCCTCCTGAGTAGCTGAGTAGCCAGGTAGCCACCATGCCCAGCTAATTTTTTTGTTTTTAGTAAAGATGGGGTTTCACCATGTTGGCCAGGATGGTCTTGATATCCTCACCTTGTGATCTGCCCACCTTGTCCTCTCAAAGTGCTGGAATTACAGGCTTGAGCCAACATTCCCAGCCAGCATATAGTCATTTCTTACGGCATACTGATGACTCTGAGGTACACTACAGGTGGCATATATACAAAATGAGCATTCTGTTCTGAATTGCTGTATCCACAAAATGTTGATCATAACATCCCCACTATAACTGAAACTACAACCTTCAGACCTGATGTATATTGTCAGATTAGCTCCAGAAAGATGGAACCAACTTGCATTCCCACCAGTGTGTTAGAAACTCTTTCCTTACACCTTTCTGAATCTTGAGTGTAGCATTAAAAATAGATTTTCCAGTTTGATGTAAAAAATGATTTTTCATTCTTCCAGCTTCCATTTCTTTGTTTACCACAAAGATGGAACTTTTAATGTGTTTATTGGCCTTTTGTAATTCTTGGTGCATTTTTTGTATTTTCCATTTTTCTCTCGGTTCGTCTTTTTTTCTTACTCATTTTTAAGAAGTGTTTATTAGGTCTGTCTATCCCTTGATATATAACTGAAAAATACTTTTTTAAAGCTTGTTTGTCTTTTAATATTCTTTGTATTTTGGATATAGAGTATTGTTTTTATGTTGTCAAATTTATCAATTTTTGTCCTATCCATTTTGTATCATGCTTGAAAGCGCTAACCCTACAATGAATTATTGGTCATATTTTATTATTTTTTGGCGTTATTTCTTTTATTTAACCCTTTAATTGGTTTGGGTGTATTTTCATGTGTGGCATGATGTAGTAGTCGCACTTTTTTTTTTCCCCAGGTTAGCAATGGTGCCAACTTGATTTATGAATAATCTATCTTTGTGTGATTAGAAATGCTGCTTTTATCATATATTAAATTATTTTTATTTACATTTCTTAGAGGTTTAGAGATCTTTTATTTAATTATTTTTAGATGGGATCTTGTTTTGTTGCCCAGGCCGGAGTGCAGTGAGGCAATCATATTAATAGCTCACTGCAGTCTCAAACTCCTGGGCTCAAGTGATCCTCCCACCTTAGTAGCTAGGACTATAGATACACACCACTACACTAAACTAATTTTTGTTTTTTTTAGAGATGCAGTTTTGCTATGTTGCCTAGGCTGGTCTCAAACTTCTGGCCTAAATTGATTGTCCCACCTTGGCCTCGTAAAGTGCTTGGATTACAAGTGTGAGCTACCTCACGTTGCTGGGATTAGAGATCTTTTAATTGTTTAGACTCACTGTTGGGAGTTTTCTTAGCCACATTGCTTTGAAGTTTTTATCTGTTATTCCTGTGATTTCAATTACTTTTTTTTATGTCTAAAACTCTTCAGACCATACCTCTCTCCTCTCTTTCAGCTATGTATGCCCTGTTCTACTTTGTATTTGGATATTTGAAACTAAATATGTCTTATTCCTTTCCAGACCAGTGTACTCGTCACTAAAGGTGACTGTCATCATCCAAAACTGGCTAATTATCCTTGACTTCCCCCTCTCTCACCCCTCCAACCAATATTCATTCATTCTGGTTGATTCTTTCTCTTAATCCAGTCCCCATACTGGACTACCGAAATAGCCTTACAAGGGATCTTCTAGCCTTCACCTTCACCTTACCCTCCCACTCCCCACCTTTACACATACCCTCTGTGCTGTGGACAGAGGAATGTGTTTCCTTTAAACAGCAGATCTAACCATGTCATGTCTTTTATCAAACTTTTTCAAATCCCTATTATATTTTTCTCTTCACTTTAATGTAAAGTCCTTAAAATGGTTTTTAGGGTTCTGTTTGAACTGGCTTGCCTCAAGCTTTATGTCTCATTTCTGGTGCTTAATACTTGAGCATTACTATGTCTCCTCTATTCCTCCAACATACTGAACTTGATTACTTTTGTGTGTTCTATTTTGTCTCTATTTTTCCCTTTCACATGTCTAAAGGGGACCCAGACTATAGGGCCCCGCTGCTCTACATTCATTAGTACCCTATGTTTGCAGTTTTGTAACTCCCATATTTGAAATCATACATTTAATGTCTTTGTCCAGCTATGACACAAGTTGGAGGCAGACAGGGTGTCTGGTTTCCTTTTCTAGTGTTGTCTAGCACTGATTAGTCACTCAAATCCCAATCGACTTGCATAAGTCTCTGTAGGCTTGTATAGTAGGTCCCTTACAGGTCCCTTTATGTCCTTCCTGTGAATGAGAATCAGGAAAACTCAAAGAGGATCTTTTTTTTTTTTTTTTTTTTTTTTTTTTTTTTTTTTTTTTAAATAGAGTCTCGCTCTGTCACCCAGGCTGGAGTGCAATGGCACAATCTTGGCTAACTGCAACCTCTGCCTCCCAGGTTCAAGCAGTTCTCCCACCATAGCCTCCCAAGTGGCTGGGATTACAGGCACCCACCATCATGCCTGGCCAATTTTTGTATTCTTATAGAGACAGGGTTTCCCCATGTTGGCCAGGCTGGTCTCGAATTCCTGATTCACTTGTCTCGGCCTCCCAAAGTATTGGGATTGCAGATGTGAGCCACTACTCCCAGCCAAGGATCTTCTTAAGCCTTTAAAACTCAATGCAGTGGCACAGACTTCACTGAGAAGTGCACAAGACCAAGTGTATTATATACTTGAGCAGACTTATTTTATTATTTCATGTCTTTGAAGTTCTTGACTTAGGTAAAATCATCTCTGCATCTTCCTTTTTTCCTTGAATAATGCTGCCTGTTCTACTTCTCACTTCAAGGTTAAATGGAGAGATGTTTTTGAATAAACAGTTTGATACTGACATTTTTAAAAGGCAACATTTAAGGAAACTGGTATTTTTGCAACCTTTTTATAAGTCAAAACTTATTTCCCAATTAAATTTATTTTTGTTTCTTTTTAACTACAGCCTGTCCTCTGATACTGAGCTATACCTGAAGAAAAACTTTTTAATTGATATGGCATCCTGAAGAAAGGACAATCAGTGTGTCTCTAGTTTGTATCAACTAGATAGCATTCCATAACACTATCTCAGGTCCTTGACATTTGGTAGAAGTGGGTAAATCAGACTTAATGCACAAGCCTTGCTATGAGGACATTTTGATCTACAGCTTCTAACTATTTAACTGACTTTTCATATAGATTATTATGTGATGAACAGGGTGTACTAATTGATGTGAATATTCCTATTCATTTAATCTTTGTCATTATAAAAAGGTGATAAATAACATTCTGATTTATTTATCAAGTGTTGAAATAGTATGCTAGTCTGCTGTTACCATTTTTGGGACAGCTAACACTTGTGGTTTGTGAACCTAGGAGGCTGTGAGCCAATGCTGATTTGCGGTTGCTTCCACATTGTTATCCTGAGAGGTATTGTGTGTGTTATTGGATAGTGTCCCTAGGCAACAGCTCTTTTCTTTTGTTCTGTTTACTGGGACAGTAATATTCCCTTCCTCCTCCCATACCTTTTTTTCCCCATGAGCAGGGCTCTCAGATTTCCGAACCTGAAGAGTTTTCCAATCAAAGCGATAAATCGATCTGTGGATGTTGACTATGCAAGGAGCTGAAGAGAGAGAGATTACAAGAGAGACTTGTCCAGGTGAGTGAGCAAGAGACAAGCAGTGGGAGAAATAGCCAACCAACAGGAAGCCTTTGGAAATTTTAGTAGAGAAGCTGGGTGAGGCTCAGGAGATAAAATAACTGTCTCTTACAGGGTTATTGGGGGCAGGGGTGGGTGAACATCTCTGGAGCCAGCTTTTCCCTAGCAATAATTTTATCATTCTTATTTCCAGCATTTTCCCGTTTACATTCTCCCATTCTCCACTCTGGATACAAACCATTCATGTTTCCTGTCTTGCCCTAATCTTAGCCTGTGGGTTGGTTGTTTTTTGTTTATCTCCATTGTCTTATTCTCTTGCTTCTGGGTGTCTGTAGCTGCCTCTTCTATGGGAGTTCCTCATTAATGGTGATCACATTACCCTGATGCACATCTCTTCCACCAGTTGCAATTCTAACTTACTTGCCACACTTGCTGTTATTGGTCCTTCCTCATAGGCCATTACTGTAGTCTGCAAAAGTTAAGGTCTGAACAGTTTCAGGGGCCTTCACTCTACCTTGTACAGGAGATATTCATTCTGCTGTTTTCTTTCAGGCTGGGTAAATAAGAACAAGCCTGTTCCAGAGCAAGAAGTCTGTAAAACTGACTCATCAGGCATAGTAGTAAAGAGTTTCCAAGGGAATGAATACCAGGATTCTACATTTGAAGAAAAATATGCATGTGAGGGCATGAAGGAAAACTCTGCTAGAGAGATTCCTGGATCATGCCTTTTCCAGGAAGGAGGTTTTGGGGCAATAACTTTCATCCACAAAGAAGCACCCCCTACAATTATCAGTCAAGAATATAATTTAGAGAAAAGCTTGCTTTTGACCTCAAGCCTTGTTACACATCTCAGAGTTTCTACAGAAGAGAGTCTGCATCAGTGGGAAACAAGTAATATACACAGCAATGATATTTCAGACCAAAGTAAATGTCCAACTCTCTGCACACAGAAAAAATCGTGGAAATGTAATGAATGTGGAAAAACCTTTACTCAGAGCTCATCCCTTACCCAACATCAGAGAACTCATACTGGAGAGAGACCCTACGCATGTGAGAAATGTGGGAAAGCCTTTAGTCGTAGTTCATTCCTTGTTCAACATCAAAGAATTCACACTGGAGTGAAACCATATGGATGTGAGCATTGTGGGAAAACATTTCGATGTCGATCATTTCTTACTCAGCATCAAAGAATTCACACTGGAGAGAAACCTTATAAATGTAATGAATGTGGGAATTACTTCCGCAATCACTCACATCTCACTGAACACCAGAGAATTCACACTGGAGAGAAGCCTTATAAATGTAATAGCTGTGGGAAGGCATTCAATCAGAATACACACCTTATTCATCATCAGAGAATTCACACAGGTGAGAAGCCTTACATATGCAATGAATGTGGCTCTTCTTTTCGAAAACACTCAAATCTTACACAACATCAGAGAATTCACACTGGGGAAAAACCCCATAAGTGTGATGAATGTGGGAAAACTTTCCAAACAAAGGCAAACCTCTCTCAGCATCAGAGAATTCATACTGGAGAGAAACCCTATAAATGTAAAGAATGTGGCAAAGCCTTTTGTCAGAGCCCATCTCTTATTAAACACCAGCGAATTCATACTGGAGAAAAACCATATAAATGTAAGGAATGTGGCAAAGCGTTTACTCAGAGCACCCCACTCACTAAACATCAGAGAATACACACAGGGGAGAGACCCTACAAATGCAGTGAATGTGGTAAAGCCTTCATTCAGAGCATTTGCCTTATTCGGCATCAGAGAAGTCACACTGGAGAAAAACCCTATAAATGCAATGAGTGTGGAAAGGGCTTTAATCAGAACACCTGCCTCACTCAGCATATGAGAATTCATACGGGAGAGAAGCCCTATAAATGTAAAGAATGTGGGAAAGCCTTTGCTCATAGTTCATCTCTTACTGAACATCATAGAACTCACACTGGTGAGAAGCTCTATAAATGTAGTGAGTGTGAGAAAACCTTCCGCAAGTACGCACACCTTAGTGAACATTACAGAATTCACACTGGTGAGAAGCCTTATGAGTGCATTGAGTGTGGAAAGTTCTTCAGACATAGTTCAGTCCTTTTCAGACATCAGAAACTACATAGTGGTGAATAATACTGGCATTTAGGTTATGACAGTTTCTGTAGTGAGCATGACTGGGAGTAGAGGGGCAGGTAGGGTTCCTGGAGGGAAGGATGAAGGAGACTTGGCTACTGCACTCTGAGAAGAATATTTCCAGAAATGGAGGTGGGAGCTGAGGGAATGCAAAGCCTACTCCAGGTGGACATCTGGGAATACAGGGTAGAAAGAAGTTCCTGCTTTTCAGATAAAGCCTGCACATTGCTGCTGTCTTCCCATGTGACTCTTACAGCTTGAAGAGGCGTTTGTGAAGTTAGCACTTCTGTTCCCTTTACTACACCCTGCCCCACCTTCTGACTTGTTACCTTCTCGTTGGCTGGCAGATTGAGATGTTTTTCTTAAACACTGCCTCTCAGTGTGAAGTGGCACACTTCTGATGTAGTGCTAAGTGTAAGTAGCCTCTGGATATTTGAGGCAGCCCTGACCATGCTACCATGGGGGAGGCTCCCAGCCTGTGGAAGTGGTACTGTGAAGAGGAGACAGTAACAGTTGACAACCAAAAAAATCCATATTCGTTCATCTAAAAAATGAGATATTAAGCAACAACTGGGTTGACCTCTATAGATCTGCTAGTAAAGGATTCATTATCCAGGTGAAGATCCTTCCTGATTCTTCCAAGCTTTAAGGTGACTCAGCTAAGAATGAAATAGGGGATCAAGTTAGAATTCATGGTGTTGGTTTATGGGAAGGCAGTCATACCTGTTCGGAGAACCAGGAAGACCCAATATCTATCTCAAAGGAATAATGGTTACCCAGGAAAGAAATGGGTCTGTAATCCCAGCTACTCAGGAGGCTGAGGCAGGAGAATTGCCTGAACCCAGGAGGCGGAGGTTGCAGTGAGCCGAGATCGCGCCATTGCACTCCAGCCTGGGTAACAAGAGCGAAACTCCGTCTCAAAAAAAAAAAAAAAAAAAAAGAAATGGGTCTGTGTTAGAGTGATAAGCCTCAGAACAGGAAGTCTGCATGTGACTGAGCAAGTCACTTACATAGCTCTGCCTGTACTAAGGTGTACACCTGTCTATTGTAAGTTTGCCTAGGCTATTGATACACAGGGACCACAGGAGAGACACCCATTAATACTAACAGCATCTTAACGAAACGAGACTTAGTTTGTTGGTCTTTATGAGAAAGCATTAGTTATGAAGGAAGATGCAATTTTCAGTTGGCTGAATGTTGGGACTGCTTAAGAAAGTGTTGGCATTTGTCATGGAATGGCTTTGGAAAGAGTTCTAAAAGAATATTTTTCAAATCCCTGAAAAATCAGGATAGCACATTTTACTACTAACTGTGACAGTATTTTATTCTTTTTGAGAGAAATGACATGGTTTTACCATTATTTCCCAAATTCCTTTCATGTTCTTCACTCTTACTCAGAAATTGAGCTCCAGAAGATTGCCTTTGACTGGTATTTAAAATAGTTTCTAAACTGTGAAGCTTATAGCATTTTTAAAATATGACTATTAAAAACAACTAAAGTTGGTTATGGAATACTCGGTTATTTGGAACTTATCATTGATTTTTTTTTTTCTTCTAGAGCAATTGCCTTGTAGGCATTGGTTTGGGTCACGAATTACCATTAATGGGAATATAGTATAAATATATATCTTTTTCCCTTTCTAGGAAGATTATGTTCTCAAAACCTACCACAAGGGAAGTCATAATTGAGGATATTAATACATTATGAGTAAAAGTAACACTGTAAAAGCTTTCTAAATATGTTCGTGAAAATCTTTTGTCAAAAGCAAAGTCTGTATGTATACCTTCTAGATAACAACACTGTATAATTACTGGCACATAATACATGTTCAGCAAATTTTTTCTTTTTTTATAGAGATGGGGTTTCACCATGGCCAGGATGGTCTCGATCTGACCTCATGATCCACCTGCCTCGGCCTCCCATAGTGCTGGGATTACAGGTGTGGGCCACTGTACCTGGCCATTTAGTAAATATTTTATGAATCAGTATATCAACCATTGCCCAACAGAACCTTTCTTCAAACTTCCTGATATATAGTTATAGCAATATTTGTACGCCATCTTGAGAATTATGAGTGGAGAGCAGAAAGAATAGGGAGAATTGTCTTAAGAAAGAAATTAAAACTAAACCTTTCAGGAGGCTGAGGCACAAGAATCGCTTGAACCTGGGCAGAGGCTGCAGTCAGCCAAGACTGCCAGTGCACTCCAGCCTGGGAGACAGAGTGAGACTTTCTCAAAAAAAAAAAAAAAAAAAAAAAAAAAAAGATACCTGTAAGTTCTTGTGGGAAAGATTTTCTCAAATGGAGACTTGATCCTGAATTTTTGATTATCAGACTGAGAAAATCTGGCATGTTTTCACTTTCTGGGGAAACAGAAAGGTAAATAATTGGTCTTTCCACTACCCTGACCCCATATTCTCACACTTGCATTTATGTGCTCCTGATTTTCTCTCAGTTGTTGGCCAACGATGTGCCTAGTCACTCCAGCATGGCCCCAAGCCTAAGCATTGCCCTCACCCTCAGTTTTCCCTCTTACTCAATCTTCATATCCATTCAACCACTGTGTCCTGTTGAAGTTATCTCCTACTTCTGGAAGCCATCTCCACTGCAATTGCTGTAGCCCAGTCCCCTTAATTTTAATTTTAATTTTTTTGAGACAGGATCTTACTCTGTTGCCCAGGCTGGAATGCAGTGGCATGGTCTCTGCTCACTGCAACTCCCACCTTCCAGGCTCAAGTGATCCTCCCATTTCATCCTCCCAAGTAGGTGGGACATGCACAACCCCCACCTCCCAGGCTCAAGTGATCCTCTCATTTCACCCTCCCAAGTAGCTGGGACATGCGCAACCCCCACCTCCCAGGCTCAAGCAGTCCTCCCAAGTAGCTGGGATTACAGGTATGTGCCACTATGCTTGGCTAGTTTTTGTATTTTTTTTGTAGAATTGGGTTTTACCATGTTGCCCAGGCTTGGCTTGGACTCCTGGGCTCAAGCAATATGCCTGCCTCAGCCTCCCAAAGTGCTGAGATTATAGGCATGAGCCACTGTGCCTGGACTCCCTTTTTAAAAATTTAATAGTCTTGCAGTTTCTTGCCCTACTAGGCCATTTTTCACATTTCTTCTTGATCGTTGTAAGCATAACTGGCTGCTTTATTGTTCTCAAAATAAAGTACTAGGCCTTTAAAGAGGCATGTGAGGCCCCTAATCTGACCAATGCCTGAATTACCATTCTCAGCTGCCATTCCTTGCCTGGCATATTCTATTCCATAGTTCAAATTTCTGTGATTCTGCGATATCACCTCTGGACTCTACTTGGACATTTTTGCACATACTGTTCCTATTGCCTCAGTTCCCATCCCTGCTTCTGCTTGCCTGGAAAACTCCCATTTGTCACTTAGGAATGTGCTCAGGCAACATCTCAGAGCTGTCTCTAACTTCATGTATTTTCTACTCAGTCTTGTATTTTTCATCATTTTATTATGTTGCATTATAATGGTTTGGTCACATATCTTTCCCTTTTTCAGCTTTGCTAGGAAAACAACAATGTGAAATTTGTTTGCCTTTGTGTCAACAGTGCCTGGTACTTAGAAGGTACTCAATAAGTATTTGTTGAACTACACTGAAGAGTCAGACATTTCTGTGCCAGTCTGTGGGTTGTGACTTAGGTCCCCAGTTGACAGCAGGAAGGAGGTGGGGTGAGTATGTGTGTCCATGAAATGTCTGCCAGAAGCAAGAATTCTAAAACTTTCCCTAAGATGCAGAGTGTGTGGTTGTATTCAACAGGATCCCATAAGAAAAAGTCATACTTTTTGATTAGAGATTTTAAAGGCCTATCACAGTTTAACAAAATGCTTTCAATTACATTGATGTCAGGGTCAACAGGACGAGGAAGATGCATGCAGCTTCAGAGGCATATCTGTGTCAACTGGAATATCTATTAAATAATAAGCAGGAACTGAAGAGCAATGCTGGCTTAGCAGGAGAGCATCTGGAGCTTGCAAACCCCAAAGTGGGCCAGGCATGGTGGCCTACACCTGTAATCTTAACTACTCAGAAGTCTGAGGTGGGAGGATTGACTCAGGCCAGGAGTTTGAGAGCATCCTGTGAAACATAGCAAGACCTTGTCTCTACCAAAAAAAAAAAAAAAAAAAAAAAAAAAAAAAAAGGCGGGTATGGTGCTGCATGCCTATAGTCCTCGCTGTTCTGGACGCTGAACCTGAGGTGGAAATATCACTTGAGTCCAGGTGTTTTGGAGCTTCAGTGAGCTAGGATCACGCCACTGCACTTCAGCCTGTGTGTCAGAGAGTGAGACTTTCTCTCTGAAAAAAAATTTAAATTTAAAAGTTCCGAAGTGGAAACACTTCCTGAGCTTTTGGGCTCTGGGATGATAAAGAATTTGTTTTGCTTTTTCTTGGTACACTGAAATTTAATTCATGACTTCAGAAGGACACAGCAGGGATGAAGCCACATCAGATCTTCAGAACAAAAGAGAAAAGATATGGTTTGGGTTGTTCAAGACCACACAACCAGTGTCAGATGAGGTTTAAACTAGAGTGTCCTTGCACTTCATTCACTTTTCTCTTTGTTGATCATACCTTTGTTCCATAGGTCTCTTTATTTTTTATAGAACTGACCACTTTTTTTTTTTTTTTTTTTTTTTTGAGATGGTTCTGTTACCCAGGCTGGAGTGCAGTGGCATGATCCTAGCTCACTGCAGCCTAGACATCCCAGGCTTAAGCAATCCTCTCACCTCAGCCTCCCAAGTATTTGGGTCTACAGGCAGGAGCTACCATGCCTGGCTAATTTTTAAAAAGTTTATTTTCAGCCGGGCGCGGTGGCTCAAGCCTGTAATCCCAGCACTTTGGGAGGCTGAGGTGGGAGGATCACGAGGTCAAGAGATCGAGACCATCCTGATCAACATGGTGAAACCCCGTCTCTACTAAAAATACAAAAAAAACATTAGCTGGGCATGGTGGCACATGCCTGTAGTCCCAGCTACTCAGGAGACTGAGGCAGGAAAATTGCCTGAACCCAGGAGGCGGAGGTTGCGGTGAGCCGAGGTTGTGCCATTGCACTCCAGCCTGGGTAACAATAGCGAAACTCCATCTCCAGAAAAAAGAAAAAAAAGTTTATTTTCTTTTACTATCTGTATCTGTAGCAAAAACCCACAGAGAGGTTCTTGCTATGTTACCCAGGCTCGTCTCAAACTCCTGCCCTCAGGTGATCCTCTTACCTCGGATTCCCATAGTGCTTAGATTACAGGCCTGAGCCACAGCATCCACCCTAGAATTGACCACTTAGTACTCATGGAGACCCCAAACCAGTGGCACAGAAGGAATTAAGAAATAAATACAGAGATACAGTGCAAAGTGGGATCAGGGGGCTAACAGCATTCTGAGTTGAGAGCCTTGAACAGACTCTGACCCACATATTTATTCTCTGTCAAACAGGTGATTAACGAGCAGGTGTTCTCTGTTTTCTCACAGCACATGGGCATTCTCCACAAGGCAACAATGGGGGCAGGGTCATGTGTCCTGTGTTTAAAGAATTGGCTTAACCATCATATGATATGCATACATTTTCCACTACTTCAAAACACCCTGAGTGGTTTTCCACTTGGGGGCCGGCTTGGTTTTCCTTGCTGTCGTTCTCAGCAAACAGTATAATCTGTCACACACATTAGGATCTGTCCCAGCAACGTAGTGCTCCGATTTTTCCCCATCCTGAGGATGTGAGGAACTCACTTGTTACAAGATCGTTGTTATCAGAATCTCAGACTTCCCTGAGTGTGAGGGTGACAAGTTGATTATACATTTTGGCCCCTACTTTCTACATAAGGCAGAAACCTAATCTTGACGATATGTGGCATTAGTTTCATTTATTTTGTCCACTGGCCACATAAGCGCTAAGGTTATTTTAGTTTTATGGAATGTTTTTGGTGTCCATCCCTACCACTCATTTTCCACCTCATTGAAAGAAGCTCAGCCCAAACTATTAAAGTCCAGATTACTATTTCTAGTTACCTGTCTACCTAGGGTACCTCACTCCAGACTTAATCTCTTCCACACACTACAGCCTGCCGATTTGGAGATTCTTTGAACCCTAATGTTTGGGGAATGAATAATTAGACCTAGGCTCTCTGGCTTGTGGCTTGTGGGATGTTAGGGCTAGAGGGAAGAACTTGCTCTCTGATTCCAAACAAGTGCTGAGAATGTGACACCCAGAAAGTCAAGGAAACTTGATACATGGCATGTCAACTGACAGTTTTACAAAGGGTCACTTTTTAGCCAAAGATAGTGATGACCTGTCTGTGGCACCATCATTCCTGATTTGTGTCCGAAAAGGACTCCATTTTGGGAAAACAGCCATCTGGTTCTGTTACCCAGGCTGGAGTGCAGTGGCATGATCCTAGCTCACTGCAGATTGGAATTGGTAGTTTGTTTTTTTTTTTTTTAGATGGAATCTCGCTCTGTCGCCCAGGTTGGAGTGCAGTGGCGTAATCTCAGCTCACTGCAACATCTGCCTCCTGGGTTCAAGCAATTCTCCTGCCTCTGCCTCCTGAGTAGCTGAGATTACAGGTGCATGCCACCATGCCTGGCTAATTTTTGTATTTTTAGTAGAGATGAAGTTTCACCATGCTGGTCAGCCTGGTCTCAAATTCCTGACCTTGTGATCTGCCTGCTTTGGCCTCCCAAAGTGCTTGTATTATAGGTGTGAGCCACTGTGCCTGGTCTGGAATGGTTAATTTCTCTGCTGCATCTCATTTAGTCAGCAAGTGTTCACTACTATATGCTGCACACTAGGGATACGATGGTATGCAAACAGCCCCATTGTCCTGAGCTTGCAGATCAGTAAGAATTCTTGGAAGTGAATAAGGTACTCTCTGCTCATGCCTTCATCTGTAGACTCTACCCATCAATATAAACCCATGTGTGCAAATATTTCCTGAGTTAGGGCCAGCAAGATGTGAAGTTTTGTAGAAACGGATGGGTGTGCTACCTTCAGGCCTTGAAAAGTCCCTGAAGCCAAGGCCGAACAATAGGGACTGAAGCTGGGATTTGAGAAACAGATCATAGTCCTAACATTCACCAAAGATTTTAAAAATACTAGACGTTCTTACTAATTCACACATATTAACCTCATTTAATCCTCACAACAACCCTATGAAACTTGGTACCATTATTATATCCAATAATTGAGGAAGCAGGCACAGAGAGGTAAAGTTGCAAAGTTCAAACACCGAAAATTGGGGATTTAAGCCCAAAGCAGAGAGGTTTTTTTGTTTGTTTGTTTGTTTTGACAGTCTCACTCTTGTCACCCAGGATGGATGGCATGATCTCAGCTCACTGCAACCTTCACGTCCTAGGTTCAGGTGATTCTCCTGACTCAGCCTACCAAGTAGCTGGGACTACAGGCATACATCATGCCCAGCTAATTTTGTATTTTTAGGAGAGATGGTTTCGCCACGTTGGCCAGGCTGGTCTCGAACTCCTGACCTCAGGTGAACCGCCTGCTTCAGCCTCCCAAAGTGCTGGGATTACAGGCGTGAGCCACCTCGCCAGGCCTGCAGAGCTCTTCTTTTGGCCACTTGAACAAACATCTTGGGTCACTTAAATGTCAGGGATTCCTGTGACAAGGTCAGTTTTCTTAGCGGTGAAGATGTGTGAGGAAGGTGGAAGCCAGTTTTGTGAAAGCCTTGAGAATCCCCAACGGACAGTAACATAGGAAGCTAAATGCAGCGGCCTTGCAGGATGGACTGATGCACAGTAAGAGCTCCTTGCGGTCGACCCTCCTGACTTCCATTCCGTTTCCCTGTGCTGGAAGACGCCCGTCAGGTGGGCTTGCAAGCGGTTTCTAGCGCCGGTCTTTGCCGGCGCAGGACCGAAATCCTCCGCTTTCCGGCGGGGAGGGACCACCGAGAGGAAGCCACTCCCGTCTTCCTAGAGAGGAGACGGTAGCCGTTATTGGCCAGAGGCGCGGACTGCTGACGTCACGCCGGCGTGGTGCGTCAGGGACTTGCTCCATTCCGCCCGGCGGCGTCCAGAGACCTGAGTGTTGCTAGGTGCAAGAGCGGAGCGCCGCAGGAAGCGCACGGTGAGCGGTCTCTGCTGTGCCCGGCTGCTGTGGGTAGATTCCAGCGCCTCCCTCGGGACGCAGGGCGTCTTCCATCCCAGAGGGCCTTTGGAGCAGAGGCTGGGGGCCTGGGGCAAGCTTGCCATGAAGAAAGGAGAGGTTGTTCAAGAGCCCTAGGCTGGGAGTCGGGGGACCTGGGTTCGATTTGTACGTACTTGAGCAAGTCAGTGAACTTTTGGGCACTTTACTTTTCTGATTTCCGGAAGTGAATACTGTTTGCTGCCTTGCCGTTTCCAAAGTTATGCGGGTTGACATAAGTATATGCAAGAGTTATCACCTTCCCTTCATTATTTATTTTTCTTTAACAGCAACAAATTAGGTACTGTATGAAGACTTGTAGACACTATAATAATACTTTAATAGCAGGCATTATTTAATGCTTACCAGCTAGCGTTCTTCTAAATAGTTGCCATGGAGTTACCCACTCATTCGTCACCACAACCCTGTAAAGTACTTACTGTTATCATCTCCATTTAACCGTTGAAAAGCGGGAGCAAAAAAAGATTAGGTAACTTGTTCAAAAGTCCTAGCCCCAGCCGGGCGCGGTGGCTCAAGCCTGTAATCCCAGCACTTTGGGAGGCCGAGGCGGGTGGATCACGAGGTCAAGAGATCGAGACCATCCTGGTCAACATGGTGAAACCCCGTCTCTACTAAAAATACAAAAAATTAGCTGGGCATGGTGGCACGTGCCTGTAATCCCAGCTACTCAGGAGGCTGAGGCAGGAGAATTGCCTGAACCCAGGAGGCGGAGGTTGCGGTGAGCCGAGATCGCACCATTGCACTCCAGCCTGGGTAACAAGAGCGAAACTCCGTCTCAAAAAAAAAAAAAAAAAAGTCCTAGCCCCAGAACCCATGGCATACTTGTAAGTTTGGTGGAGGAAGAGAATATAATCAGAGTAGAAAGTCCTACAGTCGGAACATGTAATATTCTTTGAGAATGTAGAGGAGAAGGTGCTTGGAAAAGTAATTCTTTGAGAATGTAGAGGAGAAGGTGCCTTGGAAAAGTAATTCTTTGAGAATGTAGAGAAGGTGCTTTGGAAAAGTAATTCTTTGAGAATGTAGAGGAGAAGCTGCCTTGGAAAAGTTAAGAAAAATTTCCCACAAGGAAAGTATCGAGATTTACATTTGAGCTAAATATTAAAGGTTGATGACAAGCTTGAAAATAATCAGTGGCTTATTTGATCAAACGGGGAAAAAAAGAGAAGTTTGAAAATAATTGAACAGTTTGTTCAGTGTCAGTTAAAATATGCGAGTGGATTGGGATATATTAGACAGGAAACAAGGTTTCTGCCTTCGAATAAGTGTTCTTTACATTAGGAGGGGTTCTTGAAACCTTTTCCTTATGAAGGGTCCTTAACATGTTGCAGCAGATACTCCTCACACAAAGGCAATCCTCTTATTTTACAGAAATTCCCCCAATTCTAATTGTAGGAGGATAACTGACAGTAAGTTTCCCTGCTGTTGATTCAGCTGGTTCTGAACAAGACCCACTCACCTCACTGCTAGCTCATTTAGTACTTTTCAAATAATGAATAAATAGACTCAAAGATGAACTGGAAGGGCTCGGTTTGAGGTTTTTGCTCTTTTCCCATCTGTATATACAATCAAAGCACTGCAGAATGTTGATACTAGAGGAAGCTTTCAATATTTTCTAGATTTTCACTTTTATTTAACAAATAAGAAATGGATGAGAGTGAGTGACCTGCTTCAGATTTCTGAATAAATCAGTGACAGCTGAGACTAGAATCCACATCTCTTGACTGGATCCATTTCTGGTCCTACTGCCTTCTGCTGTGTAGGCTTGCAGGACTTTTGAAATCAATGGCTTTTCCAGTAGGCTTTGGGGAGCCTTTGGGCTCCAAGCTGATCTCCTATAAAGAAATATTTACTCCTGATGCTTAGTCCTTAGAAGGACCTGCCCTCTTTCTTTGTGCATTGCCACATCTCCCTGAAGTCTACCCACTCACTAATTTTTGTCGTTGGTGATACTACTCTAGGATAGTAACGATATTAAACTCCTGGCCTCAAGCGATCCTCCTGCCTCAGCCTCTCTCTCTCTTTTATTTTTAAAGACAGGGTTTCACCATGTTGGTCAGACTGGTCTTGAACTCCCGACCTCAGGTGATCTGCCCACCCTGGCCTCCAAAGTGTTTGGATTACAGGCATGAGCCACTACACCCAGCCCTGCCTCAGCCTCTCAAAGTGTTGAGATTATAGGTGCAAGCCACTATGCCTTGCCTATATTATATACTTCTATATTATCTAAATATTTTAAAGTGAGGTTATATATGTGTAATTTACATGATTAGAAAACTAAGATAAAAATGGGCCTCAGAGAATAAGAATGTGTTAGTATCCGGCACTACCTAGGGAAGAGGTTGCTCTGATGTGCAGCATCTGAATATTCATTCTTTAATTCTGTGTGGCTTATTTAGGGCACCAGGGTTTCAAAATTTGATGAGCATTTAATTATGATCAATTAAGTAATTTATTCTTTCTCCAGTTCTTTATTTCCCAAAGAGTGCCCTGATGACAATGATTTGGTTCCCAGACAGTTTTCTAAAGTCCAGAGAATGTGTTAACCAGCTCTATATTGAGCATAAAAATTTTTCCTTGTAAATAAGCAAAGTCACTTTATATTCTATATCATTCCCCTTATAAAGCTGATTAATATATTTCAGATTCTGAAGTATTTCGTTGGCTACAAAGGTGAGGGCTAGCTCCTGGACCATGATGCTGTAGTCAAGTTACTGTCCAATTAAAGCTTCTTCTTTGAGGACCACGTCTCTAATTTTCCTGAAAGAAAACAGCAATATCTTACTCTCTTTCCGTAGGCAGGACTTTAGTTTTCAAACCCATATGTTTCCAGTTGGACCTAGGTAGAGAACTATAGATGGTGAATGTTTTGTAGAGAAAGAGAGATCCAAAGCAACACCTGTAAAGGTGACTGAATAAGGAAGGATTGGTGAGATAGGCCTATTGAAAGTTACAGCCTGGATCACATTTGAAGTCTTAGGAGGGAAACTCTTTGATTATCACTAGTAGGCAACCTAAGGAAATTGAATTATTATTCCTCTGTTTTTTGAGTAGAGACTGTAAGTGGACAATAAGTTTCCCTAACTTAATTTTCTCAAGTCTAGGATACTTACTCCTTTCACATTTTCCAGTTATTTATGACTGTGGATGGATGCAAATCTGGATGATCCCAAGTTACCTGGGTTAGTTTTTAGTATTTGATTGTTTCAGAATCAATCATGATAGGGAATTTTATAGAATTCCTAAGACCTGTCATTACTTAATCTCTTTCTTCAGAGAGGCTGATCATCAGGGGTTCACTTTTGGAGAAATTGAGAAAGCATGCTGAACAAGGAAGAGGAAGGGAAATCCTTCAGGGATGAAGGAGAGGATAGCAATGCATGTGTGTGAGCACACACAAACAGTAACCTTTCCTAGGAGAACGGTATTACTGTGTGAATTTGGTGTTATAAGCAGCATGAATTCCAGCCAAATATCACTAAAAATGAAACATTGGAGCATTAACATGAAGAAGAAACCTTCAAAGTGTAGTGAATGTGGAAAGTTCTTTACTCAGAGATCATCTCTTACCCAGCACCAGAGGATTCACAGAGGAGAGAAGCCCTATGTATGCATTGAATGTGGAACTTGTTTCCGCAAACAGTCAAATCTTACTCAACATCTGCGAATTCATACGGGAGAGAAACCTTATAAATGTAATGAATGTGAGAAAGCCTTTCAAACAAAAGCAGTTCTTGTTCAGCATCTGAGAATTCATACTGGAGAGAAACCCTATAAATGCAGTGAATGTGGAAAAGCCTTTTGTCAGAGCCCATCCCTTATTAAACATCAGCGAATTCATACTGGAGAGAAACCTTATAAATGCACAGAATGTGGCAAAGCCTTCAGTCAGAGCGTATGCCTTACTCGGCATCAGAGGAGTCATTCTGGAGATAAACCTTTTAAGTGTAATGAATGTGGGAAAGCCTTTAATCAGAGTGCATGCCTCATGCAGCATCAGAGAATTCATTCAGGAGAGAAGCCCTACATATGCAGTCAATGTGGTAAAGCCTTCACTCAGAACTCTTCCCTTGTTGAACATGAAAGGACTCACACTGGAGAGAAACTTTATAAGTGTAGTGAGTGTGAAAAAACTTTCCGCAAACAAGCACACCTTAGTGAGCATTACAAAATTCATACTGGAGAAAAACCTCATGAATGTGTTGGATGTGGGAAATCCTTTAGGCACAGTTCAGCACTTCTTCGACATCAGAAGCTCCATGCAGGAGAGTAAAATTTGGAATATAATGAGTATGGAAAGATTTGTATGAAAGCATCTTTTTTTTCCTCCTAAATTCCTGGGACTATAAGACTCAATCTGCAGCTAGTATGAATATTTTATATTTTGAACAAGAAGTGTTGTGTCCTAATCTGGAGTTTGATGCCTTAGCTGCTGCTCAATGGGCGTAACCTTATCCCCTCTGAGCCTCAGTTTCCCTGTCCACCCAATAGAAAAATGGGGATATTTCCTAGGGTTGTGTTGAAAATAAAATGAGTTCTGTGTGACAGTTAACTGCCATTAATTAGCTGTTCTAAACGTTTATTTAAAATATTAAAATCTGATTGACAAATCAGCATCGTTGTTTGGTTCCATAATGTATTATTTCTTAAGGACATTTTGTAATTGGGTTATGATTTCATTATTAATCTACAGAAGTCTATTTAAACTGTATGTCTAGGTTTAAATAGGATGGTATAATCTAGACTGGTTTATCCTTGAGAAATTTCAGATTCAATAAGAGAAAAAAAAAGTACTGATTGAGATTTAAGTGGACATTTTGAGGTGTACTTCTGGATACCCTCAAGATCTTCATTTAGGTTTTGATACTTTTTATTACTAGGTCTAATTTGACTTTAAGCTCTAAGTTTTACTTTTGCATTAAAAGGAAAGCCTCTCTGACATTAACTAAATAAAACCTCAAGTTGTGGGACTTCTGTGTGTGTTTAGGGTTGGCAGCAGATGATTAGGAGAAGGCATAGAACAGTAGAGAGGACTGGAATACAGAGGAGAATGTAAGCATGTAGATAAGGATGTGACTGTTACTTGTTTTGAGTTCTAGGAGCAGAGCACCAAATGTAGTCTCTTAAGGGAAGATCAGGTTTGAAGATACTAAAATCCCAGGTTCCAACAAGCTATACCACTGACTAACAACTAGCCACTTGTCGAAGGAGAGAACGGTGTTTTGGGGAAGTTGATGGGTTGGAGTGCCTAATGAAAAGACTGGCTCATTAAAAGCCATAAAAAAGCAAAGAAAGGATACTTTTGATGGTGCATTAGGCAGTGCTAGGCTCTTTAATGTAAACAAGCACCTCTAATGCTAAAAGCATCCTTGCAAGAAAGGTAGGAGTTAACTATTCACATCCTATAATCAAGGAAAAAGAGTTTGACTTGCTCAAACAGGTAGTGTCAGAGTTAAATCTCAAATATGTATCTTATCAAAAGTGTAGTTCTGGTTTCTATAATACAAAAGTCACATGCAGGTAATTTCCTACCATTAAACCTTGCTATTAATGTGAGATGCCAAATTTGTCAAAACCATTCTTAAAAAGTAAAGATTTATTTTTTTTAAACTTAATGTTTGCTTATTGAAATACATTGATGAAATTAGAGAAATGAAAAAAATTAAAATTTTATACTTTCAGCAAATAGTCACCTTAGTGTATTTATTCTAGCCTTTCTTTTCTGCATAGCTCTTTTTGCTTCCCTTTTAAAAAGAATTATAATTGTACTATATTAGAGTACTATACCCTGCTTTTTAACATAACAATGTAGCAGTATGTTAGACTTTCTATAAACTTTATTTTAATGGTTGCCCAACATTTCATTGGTCTGTTCATAATTTTTTTACCTGTTCCCCATCTGTGTGATATTTATATTAATATATATTTTTTTTATAAATCAGAGAATCTGCTAATGGTGGTGCCTGTCATGGTGTGAGTTCCCATTAGTAATATTAATTTGGCAGTGAAATAGCTTTGTATATAACATTTTTACCATTTAAAAATTATTTCCTGAGGATTTTCAGAGGGCTTAATCTTTTTAATTATTATTTTATTTATTTATTTATTTGAGACAGAGTCTCTCTGTTGCCCAGGCTGGAGGGCAGTGGCACAATCTTGGCTCACTGCAACCTTTGCCTCCTGGGTTCAAGCGATTCTCCTGCCTCAGCCTCCTGAGTAGCTGGGTATACAAGCACATGCCACCATGCATGGCTACTTTTTGTATTTTTAGTAGAGACAGAGTTTCACCATGTTGGTCAGGCTGGTCTCAAACTCCGGACCTCGTGATCCTCCCACCTTGGCCTCCCAAAGTGCTGTGATTACAGGCGTAAGCCACCACACCTGGCCTTACTTATTTTTAAAATTTCATTCATCTTTATGACTTGATAATACAAGCTTATGGCTTAAAAATCTAAAAGTACAAGATGTTGAACAGTGAAAAGTCTTCCAGTCAGCCACCTGCTTGTCCCCTCATTCTGTCATAGACAACCAATTTTATGTTTGTTGTTTTTCTTACAAAGATAAGTATAATTAAGCAAATATCTTTCTCTTAAGACTGTTTTTAGAGCAGTTTTGCATGTATAGTGAAATTGAGTAGAAAGTAGAACGTTCTCATATATCCCCTGCCCCAAGAGACACATAGTCTGCCTGTTAGCATCCTCCACCAGAGTGGTGCAACCTACTTGTACACATTATCACCCAAAGTCACAGTTTACATTAGGGTGCACTCTTGATTTTGTATATTCTATGGATTTTGACATATAGAATGATATGCATGCATCCATTATAGTTTCATAAAGAGTTATTTCACTTCTCTAAAAATGCTCTGTGTTCTGCCTATCCCTCCCTCCATGCTAACCCATAGCAACCACTGATTTTTTTTTTTTTCTTTTGAGATGGAGTCTGGCTCTGTCGCCCAGGCTGGAGTGCAGTGGTGCAATCTTGGCTCACTGCAACCTCCGCCTCCTGGGTTCAAGCGATTCTCCTGCCTCAGCCTCCTGAGTTGCTGGGACTACAGGCATACGCCACCACAACTAGCTAAGTTTTTGTATTTTTAGCAAAGACGGGGTTTCACGTTGTTAGCCCAGATGGTCTCGATCTCCTGACCTCGTGATCCACCCACCTCTGCCTCCCAAACTACTGATGTTTTTACTGTCTCCATACTTTTCCTATTCCAGAATGTCATATAGTTGCAATCATTAAGTATGTAGTATTTTCAGGTTGGCTTTTTTCACTTAGTGGTATGCACTTAAGGTTCTCTCGTGTCTTTTCATGGCTGGTTGGTTAGCTCATTTCCTTTTAGTGCTGAATAATGTGCCATTGTATGGATGTACTATGTTTACCCATTCATTGACTGAAGAACACGTTGGTTGCTTCCATCTTTTGTCGCTTATAAATAAAGCTGCTGTAAATATTTGCCTTAAGTTTTTGTGTGGACATATGTTTTCAGCTCATTTTGGTAAATTACTAAGGAGTGAAATTGCTGGATTATATTGTAAGAGTATGTTTAGCTTTGTAAGAAACTGCCAGAATATCTGCAAAGTGGCTGTACCATTTTGAATTCCCAATTGTTTATATGAAGTAGAGTTCCTGTTGCTCCACATCCTTGCCAGGATTTTGTGGTATTGGTGTTTTGGATTTTAACGGTTCGTTGTTTTTTTGTTTGTTTGTTTGTTTGTTTTTTGAGACTGAGTCTCTATTGCCCAGGTTGGAGTGCAGTGGCATGATCTCGGCTCACTGCAGTTCTGCCTCCTGGGTTCAACCAATTCTTGTGCCTCAGCCTCCCAAGTAGCCAGGATTACAGGCGCCTGCCACCATGCCCAGCTAATTTTTGTATTTTTCATAGAGGCAGGGTTTTACCATGTTGGGCAGGTTGGTGTTGAACTTCTGACCTCAAGTGTTATCTGCCTGCCTCAGCCTCCCAAAATGCTGGGATTACAGGGGTCAGCCACCACACATGGTTTGTAACTGTTCTAATAGGTATGTAATGGTATTCATTGTTTTAATCTGCAGTTCACCAATAACATATGATGTTAGCATCTTTTCACGTTTGCCATCTGTATAGCTTTGGTCAGGTATCTGTTAGGGGTTTTGCCCATTTTTTAATTAAATTGCTCATTTTCTTATTATTGAATTTAATATATTTTATATATTTTGTATAACAGCCCTTTATCAAATAGGTTTTTTGCAAATATTTTCTCCCAGTCTGTGGCTTATTTTCTCAATCCTTGATTCCCTCTCTTTACTTTTTTTTTAACAAATAGTAGCATAATATATGCAGTTGTCCATTTTAATTTTTTTAAGACTAATCCAAGTCACTCGTTGTTCTGTATCAGTAAATAAAGATCTTACCCCTACCCTTGCCCAATGTGTTATTATCTTAATAGATCATTATTTAATTAGTTCTCTGTTAGTGGACATTTAATAGCTTTTATTTTTCTATTATAAACAAAACTGCATATGCAGCATCCTTGTCTTTAGGGATGCAAGATATTTAGAAGATAATTTCCTAGCCAGGCATGGTGGCTCACACCTGTAATCTCAGCACTTTGGAGGCCGAGGTGGGTGGATCATTTGAGGTCAGGAATTCCAGACCAGCCTGGCCAACATGGTGAAACTCACTTCTACTAAAAATACAAAAATAATTAGCCAGCATAGTGGTAGGCACCTGTAGTCCCAGCTACTCAGGAGGCTGAGGCAAGAGAAATCACTTGAACCTGAGAGATGAAGGTTGCAGTGAGCTGAGATTGCACCACTACACTCCATCCTGTGTCACAGAGCAGGACTATGTCTGAAAAAAAAAAAAAAAAAAGAAATATGTGCCTTGGTCGTTTTGATAGATATTGTGACCTTCCAGATGTTTAACTAGTTAATCCTCCCACTAACAGTGGATGAGAGGTATGCTCAGTAAAGTATGTAAACAATTGCTCAACAATTCTTTTGTACCAAAAAAGTTCTTTTTTAATTTCCAACTCACCCCACATTGTTGACAGAATTTCCACCCATTAGCTAGGAGGCTGAGGAAGGAGGGTCAGTCAAGCCCAGGCATTTGAGACCAGCCCCAGCAGCAGAGCAAGACCTCAAAAAAAACAAAAACCTGTTTAACCTGATGTGATTTTAATGCATTGTATGCCTGTATCAAAATATTTATTCCATACATATATACACCTACTATGTACCCACAAAAATTGAAAAATAAAAATTAAAAAAACTTCTGTTATTTGAGTAACCAACATAACACACTTGAATCCATTTGCAATGCAGTTGTCACATTTTCATCGTGATTCTGCATAGGATCAAGCAAGTGTTTTACTCCCTATGTGTTCTAACTGCAGTCGTGCCCAAGCCTTTACATACTGAAATATATACTGTTTTTGTTATAAATTACATTATTTTTAGGACTTTTTCATATTAAGTTAGGAGATTTATTGATTTTTTAAAGTGTGTATATATAGGTAGTTTATATTTCCTAGGAGTTTCATTTTAGGGTAGTAAAGGTGGTATAAAAATATCTGTGTAG